TACTAGTTAAATAATCAGAGAGGTATATATATATATATATATATATATATATATATATATATATATATATATATATATATATATATATAGTGAAAAGCCTAAAATGAGGAAAAAAATTCAAAAATTCATCCAATAATTTTACCTTTAAAATAAATAATCGTTGAGATAAACTGCCAACCAAAAAAGAAAAAAATAATAATAACAATAAATATGAAATATTCAATCAACAACGGTTAACAGCTACTACTACTATTACTCCCTTTGTCAGTTTGCTTCCCTTTCAATTCAATTACCTAAGCCTTCCACAGAACTACTCACTCCTCCTGACTTCAAGTCACTCGGAGACGACACCAAATAAGAAGGGGAAAAGAACGGGAGGCGACTGCCGCAAACCCCTCTCTCTCTCTCTCTCGCTCTCGCTCTCGCTCTCGCTCTCCCGAACCCCAACCCGCATTGCCCTCTTCGATCCTCGATCGCTGCCTGGCTTCCCTTTCGGAGGCCGTCCGATCCTCTCCCTGGAGTCCGAGATCGCCGTTGGTAACCGGAGCTTCGGATGGTGCGGGGTGCAGTAGGCGGTGCGTTGATGGGATGTCGAGACGTCGAATCGCGCCCCTAGCTCCTGCTGGTTTCGTTTCGGGAAGCGTAGGAGGATCGTCTCGTCATGTCACTGGGACAGCGGAATGACGCAGATGAGGATTGATCGATCTGAATCTGCTCGTCTTTAGCTTCTTCAAAGGTGAATCTGAGGCCGCGCGCTTCGGGTTTTGTTTTGGTCGTAGTCTCTGGATCTAGACGTAGTGAAATGTAGATTGCGGGCATGGAGCAAGCACCTCTGTCAGAGGACCGAGAGAGGGAGTTGAATTTTTTTTAGGTGGTTCGATTGATTCAAGAAAGTGGAGTGTTCTAGATCGAGTTTATGGAGTCTCGAATGGATCAGTACGAGATCCTGGAGCAGATTGGGCGAGGAGCCTTTGGTGCCGCAATTCTGGTAAACCATAAGGTGGAGAAGAAAAAGTAGGTTCAAGCCAACTCCTCACTGCTTAGTTGCTAATCACCGTTATATTATCTATCATCTTTTAATTGCTTATGGGTTTTGGACGTCAGGTATGTTATGAAGAAAATCCGTCTTGCAAGGCAAACAGAGCGGTGCCGGAGGTCTGCTCATCAAGAGGTTTGTGAATCAGATGAGTTAATTATCTAGCTTGTGTATGTCGTGAACAATTTTCTCAACACCGTGGAAATTTGAGTGTAGATGGCTCTGATTTCACGACTTCAACACCCTTTTACTGTTGAGTTCAAGGAAGCTTGGGTGGAGAAGGTAAGGAAACAAGTTGCTTGAAGTCATATGTACTTCGACTTCGGTAATTCATGTATACTTAATCCATCCTAATGCAGGGCTGTTATGTTTGCATCGTCACGGGTTATTGTGAAGGTGGAGACATGTAAGTCACTAGCTGTTACGTCTTTATGTTCCATTTTCCTTCTTGGATGGCATCATGGTATTTGTGTTTATCTTGGAGCTGTGGTGTGTCTTAAAGGGCTGAGTTGATGAAGAGATCAAACGGAGCATACTTTCCGGAGGAGGTAATGTCATGTTTCTTCATAAGTCTGTAACTATGTTTGGAAACCATGTGGCTGTTGACATAGTAATTCTTTTTCACCAGAAATTGCTGAAATGGTTTACTCAACTGCTATTAGCTGTTGAGTATTTGCATTCCAACTTCGTTTTGCATCGAGACATAAAGGTTTGTCATTTGTGAGAAGAAGATGCTTTCTTTTCTCTCTACAAATTGGTATATTTTTTGACTGATTTTATGCTGGTATGTTCTTGCATTTTATTGGCAGTGCTCAAATATATTTTTGACCAAGGATCAGGATGTTCGCCTTGGTTAGTTTCTCTTGATGTAACTACATAATTAGGATTGCCTTTCTTCTGTATTATGCCTTAATATTTATCCTGTGTGTTTCATGCTCAGGGGACTTTGGACTTGCTAAAACTTTAAAAGCAGATGATTTGGCTTCTTCTGTATGTACTACTTCACTTTAATTTTGAGTACCTCAAAAGAGTTTTTTTCACAGCAAAGCATAAGCCCATCATGTGATGTACAGAAATTCAGAAACAATACCTTAGTTCATTAATGACTGGGAGAAAATATAAAGAAGAGACCTACTATTATTAAAACCCCTTCTAAAAATACAATTAATTGAGGTAGGTGAATGAATCTCTAGTCCTCCACATACCTAAACCAGTTGGTGGGAGTTACAGGTTGCCAGGTTGTTTTAATTATATGTTACAATAACATGAGTCAATCTTCTTTGTCTTCAATAAAGTTTTATGATTGGGTTTATTTTCTTCTGTAGGTTGTTGGAACCCCCAATTATATGTGCCCGGAGCTTCTTGCAGATATTCCTTATGGGTTTAAGTCAGACATTTGGTCTTTAGGTATGATGTATTTGTTGTATATTTGTCATACAAAATGCATCGAATAAGCTAGATCATTGATTTAAGAAAATTGGTTGGACAGGGTGCTGTATGTATGAGATGGCTGCTCATCGACCTGCTTTTAAAGCTTTTGTAAGTTTCTAGCATATTCAACCATCTACACTATTTTGTGGACTGTTGTAAAAGTAATATTGATGTGATATTTAAATTTTGGGGAATTTGTTTCTGTACCCTGTAAAATAGTCAAATTTCATGTTTACCACATCAAAGTTGCAATTATCCCTTTATGATCCCTTCAACTGTTCTAAATTATCATAGGTACCCTCATGGTTATACTCCCAGTGAATCGTTAGAATGTTAAAGCCTGCAAAGATTATTTGCCCTTTATTTAAAATTCTCCTGCCAGCATTTAAATTGTCTAAAGCTTTAGTTTTAGGTATTTTTGTGGCACCATTTATTAATTCATTGGTAATGATGTGGTTCAATTCACTGATGTATTAATTCTATGACCTCATGATGAATCCTCGGCTGTGCTGAACTGTGAATGCTCGAAACTGCAGTTGCTGAATTTTATCCTCTCCCTAGTTTCTTCATGGCTGGAACTACTTCAATTAATGGTTGTCAATTTGCCTCTTCTCTACAATGAGAAATCACATCTTCCACAATCTTCTTTAAAGATTTATCGGGTTCAGATAAACCATCATATTTACCATTACCATTGTATATGTACTTCCTAAAGTTTAGGCATCCAGATTCGGCAAGACATGCCCAAAAATTTAGGGTGCTGTTTAAGAAATTAAAATTGCACTTTACTATTAAGAATCTCAGAGCCTAGTCACTATTCTTATTCCGTCCTTATCATTTTTGATGGCAGGATCCATTTATGTTATACAGATAGTGTCGTGACCATCTTTAGATCTGGTTTATCCACCTAAACATATGCTGTTTCACTTTTGGCATCTTAAGGATTTTCGAACAGAGTTAATTAAAAGTGTGACCAAGGCTTTCAACAAGAGCAAACAATCTGAAGGCTTCTTTTAGTTCTTCTTAACATGATTGAAGGAACTATTCATTTCCTACTGTCAACCAAAGACATACAGTTGTAGGTGATAGAACCTGTTTTCTCTTTGACCCACACAAATAGTAAGTCCATCTGGTATCAGATTAAACAAATTTCTTTTTCAGGCTCCTTGGTTTCATTTAATATTATTGGCTCTCAGAGGTTTTAACTCAACCTGATTTATATCTCGCATATTTGTGAAAATTATAAGTATTAAAGTAATAGTTCTTGAAAGTATTATTGCAGGATATGGCTGGACTGATTACTAAGATTAACCGGTCATCTATTGGTCCTTTACCTGCATGTTATTCTTCTTCCTTGTAAGTATTCCTTTTCACTAACATCATCACAGCAACTGTTCATCATAAATTAACTTTACCAAAGGATTTACTATATCATTCCATTAGTGTGGTTCTCCCTCCATGCATGTAATAATTCTGGTTCTTTGAATCCACTTTCTAAAGTATCTGATGCAGTTTTGGAATGTTAAAAACTGAATCAATTGAACCCTTTAACACTAGTTTGCTAGTTCCTACTGTTTAACTATGTCATTATCTAGGATTAAGTATTTAATTGTTATGCATTAGTTCTTTATCAATTATTAACTTAGTGCTTATTATGTTTTTGGGTGACCTAACCTTGAGTAAATTATTTAGAGCAAACTTCAATCTCAACATCATTAGCAGTTTGCATTTAAGTAATAATACTTTTAGTTAAATGTATCTACTTAGTTTGTTTTTCGAATTTTGCTAATATTTATTGTCCTAGATTATGAATTGTACTTGGTGGGCTTGCATGGGCTGTTTAGGTATGGGCTTGGCTGGTTACATGGACTGTTCAATTATGAAATCCTTGTCTGTGTGTATATGGACTGCAGGTGCTTTTGATGGCTGCTTAATAAGTTCACCCCTCTCCCAGATTCACCAATGATAATGGTAGAAAATTTTGTACTAGAGATAGATGATGCTATTTTAGATGATGTGGTAGATACTTTATGTGCAATAATTCTGATAAAAACAGGTTCTGCTATATTATATTCTACTGCTGTTGATGCAAAATTGTCCACAATTTTATGGCAGATATTCGGAGCTTTAGGTTCTTCATAAATATAAGTAGAATGTTTGAGACAAACTGACTAGGAAAACTGATGTTTCCGTTGTTATTGCAGGAAAACTCTTATCAAAACCATGTTGAGAAAGAACCCAGAGAATCGGCCAAGTGTAAGCCATTTAAGTTACTTTTACAGATAATAAGCAAGCTATCATTTCTTTTGCGTTTGCCTAACAAAGTGTATCTAGTGTTGTTCCACAACATCATCTAATTATTTTATGATTGAATCCAATCAGGCATCTGAAATTTTACGTCATCCATGTTTGCAACCATATGTCAGTCAACAACGTCCATGCCCTGATCCTTCAAATGTGTCACAATCACTAGAAAAGCCCATCTCAATTTTGCAAGGTCAGAGTAATATGTCCGAAAGCCAAAGTAGCAGTATTTCAGGCAGTGATAAGGAGAGTTCGCAGTCGAGCAACAAATATACATCAGAACTGTCAATGAAGGGGGACCAAAAGGCAATTGAACCAGACACTGCTTCAACTGATGATGGGGTAGCTTCTGATTATAACAGTAATTCCCCTTTTTATGCTAGGGGTGGTACTGAAATCTCTGAAATTGTTAAAGAGAGACAAGATTCATCAAAAGTTTTACAAGTTGATGAGCAACAAAATATTGAGTCCAGGCAACCAAGAATTTCCAAAAATATGCTGACCGCTTTTAAAGAGGGTGTTAAAGCTAGAGAAAGCAGTTCTCCTGTGAGAGCAAGTCGAGTAAAAGTAGTTGCTGCATCCAACCATAGGAGTAGTACAGAGCAATCACCTAAGGTGTCCAAGCCCACTGGTGCCAGTTTTTCGAAGCCAAAGCCTAATGCAGAAGCGCCACCTGATGAACCAATCAAGAACATTTGTGATTCTGAAAAACAAGTGCAAGGGTTGCAGAGCTTTAAGCACCTGGTAAGATAATCTTCCCAGTAGTCATTTGACAAATTTCTTTGTTTCTCTCCATTTATCATTCAAATTTTCATGTTGCAGTCACCTGTATCTGAATCCTCTCCCAAAACTAAAGCCAGATATGATGAGGCTTCACGGACTGATCCTGTTAAGCATATTCTGGAAGACAATGTTCCTCCTAAGAGGAGGCAAAGGATATTACCACCCAGCCTCACCAGAAGGCCAACACTCCCTGCTCCAAACGCTGCTGGAGTTGACAATCCAAGTCCTGTGGATAACGGGAACAAGAGTCCTTCGAACAAATTAACTCAGGAGCCAGGTGTTAGTCCAAACAAAAAAATCTACAGCCCCAGGCAAGTCATCAGCCTGATGGAAGATTCAGAGATGATTCCTATTAGTCCTTCTAAAGGAATGCAGATTAATAAAGATAATTTAGAGGTGCCACCTGTTCATACTGAAGATTATCTGATGGCAAGGGTTAAGGAGCAGAGCAAATTGTACTCAAACTGCACGGATGATTGTGCTGATGAATCTTCACCTGCTAAAATTTCAGAATCCAGTCCGACAAAATGTTCCTCTTGCACACATTCAAGGCTTGATTATTCATTTGCAGATAGTCAAGAGCATGACAGTGGACCTTTTCCAAACTTAGAGATCAATACATTGGACTTACAGCAGAGCACTATAAATGATAAAATTACCTCCAGTTCAGTTTTAGAGCTGTCCTTATCCGGAACGGAACAAGAGTTTGTTTTCAAAGATGATATTTCTATGAGCAAGTCTAACCAAAATCCAATTGTGAAACGAGTTGGTGATGACAAGTTTATAGTCAGAGAGCTTCTTTCATCCATAAAAGACATTGCACCTTTTGTTCCAGCATCATCAAAGAACATACCTGCGGAGAAGGCGCCAATCACAAATCAGATCTTGGAAAGGCCAGAAGCACCTCATATAACCCCAGCTTTTGAAGATGTCATTCATGTTATAAGGCATAGCAGCTTCCGCGTTGGCAGTGACCAGCCTGTGCCGGAGAGCATGGATAAAGGCATCCAAAACATGGATCCTGGGAGACTCTTAAATGTGGTGGAAGAGGTGGATATGAGAAACATCTCACAGAACCTAGAACCACCAAGATTTGTTGATTCTGTGCGTATTAAATCGAATGTTTCAGAAGGCAGCATCATCAAGGAGAAACCAAACAGCTCAGAATCTGTGAGACCAACGTCTACAAACGTTGGATCTGTTTCGTCGGAGTCATTGCTTAGTTCAAAGGAAGAAGGAGGTTTCGCTAAAGAAACATTAGATGTAAAATCTTTTAGGCAGAGAGCAGAGGCACTCGAAGGTTTGTTAGAGCTCTCGGCAGATCTTCTGCAGCACAATAGGTTGGAGGAACTTGCTGTAGTTCTAAGGCCATTCGGGAAGTATAAGGTGTCTCCTAGAGAAACTGCAATCTGGTTAGCAAAGAGCTTCAAGGAGATGATGAGTGAGGACACCAACTGCAAATAATGAGGATTCACATCATTCTTTTTTGGATTACTTTTCTCTTCTCTCTTGTTGCGTGGTAGCTCGCCGACTTGGTCATTCTGTTATTTTTGTTCAATTTGCACAGTTTTTTTTCTTCTGGTATTTATTGGTGAAGAAATAATGTATACTAAGATCTATGAACTAAAATATACTTTGTTGAATAGCACGTAAGATTATTCTAACAATACTCTGTTTTATGCTATCGTAAACAACTAGCTTTTACACACTAAGATATCTCAGTCAATTTCTGGAGCCAGAAGGAAATATTGGTGCATGTTACAAGGTGTGAAGAATTACGTGCTTGTTAATGTTGTGCATGCTATGTTTTCCCACTAGAGATGTAATCCAAGCAGTAGACCAATAGAACTACAATTGGAAGGCAGCATTCTTTTTTTGTTACTTGTACACTGTACTAAGTTGAGCTTGCATGGTCTATTTATGGAACTCTCTTTTTCTTGGTTATTATTTGTAACTCATATGGATTAATCTATGCCAAACAGCTGAATGATAGTATTTATTTGTTTAGATGCTTGAATACATGATAATCACTGGTAGATTCTGGTGGTGATATTGTGACTAGAAAGTAATTAATACCTGCTCAACTACGAATATTCTTTCATAGATAATTTCTCATTTACTTGTAGCCACTTGAAAGAATAATGTGTAAGAAGTAGGACTACTCTGTCGGCAATTTGGCTGCTTATTGATGAATAGATTGATTGCATAGCTTGCTGTGGAGAAATTTTGCAACCCTTACCTTGACCTAACATTCTGACTTGTTTATGTTACTCTTCCATGTGATTAAGGTGGATTGGACCATGTCAAGCCACCGATGGAGTACCAATCATCTCAACTTCATGTGGTGGGGAGTCCAGCTGCTACCAAGTCCCAATCATCTCAACTTCATGTGGTGAGGAGTCCAGCTGCCACCAGCAAAAGCTTTATGACCTCCGAAGTCAAGCTAAAGGTATCGACAGGATTGCTCACCTGAATGATACACACTGAATTATCTTGGGCAGCAATGCATGGAAGAAACATTTGCAAGAATTTGGCCCTTCCAAGATTTTACTGCAGGTAGGAGATTTCTTGAGTTTTTCTTGAATTTGAAAAGATGCTGTTCCACGATAAATCACTTCTATACTTTTTTGGATAAATCCGATGGACTCGATATACAGGTATATAGTTCCATACAGTATCATTGAAACAAATAATAATGTAAATATAAATACACTATATCTGTCCTAGTATCAAGTTATAGATTTTGATATTGGTGCTTGGTTGGACTGACAAATATCTAATTACTTGTGATTGATGTAACTTCAGGTAATCAGAGTTCCCAAACTGAAAGTAATTGGAAGCTGAATTGCTAGTCACAGGTGCTTTCCTTTCCTCGATTGATTTAAGTGAATATCATCAAAAGATTCATATTTCAAGCAACGATTATATTGTTGTTCTATCTAATTAGATAAGATATGTTATAGATTTAATTAGATTTTATTATCAATCAATAACAAAAATTTAATTATGATAAGATTTCTTAAAAAGACATAATTGATGAGAGAGATTCTTCTAATTATTTATTTTAGATCTTCTACTCTCGTCTATAAATAGATATGAAATTTTTTTTTCTAAAGAAGGAGAGTTCAGTTCTCTTTGTATATCGATATCGTTGTGATATTTGAATTCACATACGATGTCCTTATAGATCAAATAGAGATTTTTTTAGATGGTATCGAAAAATAAGTATTGTAAATCTAATCTATTGTTATTTGATTACATTAAAGTTTTTTTAGATAACAGTAACACATTATGATTTTTTATGTTTACATGTATTGCATGCTACTCAAAACGTGGTCTATTATTTGAGCCAAATAGACTAATAGAGTAATCCTCGGGGTTTAATATGACGTAAACAATAGTTGTGTTGAACCGGCCGGCATGTGACTGCATCACTGTCATGGACCTATCAATCGATCTAAATCACGCCATCAAGCCAACTTAGTTCTTCATCCCCCCTTCAACCTTCACCGAACCTTCTTTGGCTGGCCATAGACAAACTTTGACTTCGTCAAAGGAAACTCTGATACATCACACTCCGTTGAATCTTCTACTTGAAAGACTGGAATAGACAATTAAACACCAACTATGATAGATAGTGGATGTGTGTGTGGGTGGGTGTCAGCTAACTGCTTCCATGGATTAGTCTTTTTATCTTAATGTCTCCGATTAGGGATTCACAGTTGGTGGTGGAGGAATTGACTCAACTCGAGGGCGATTGAATGGATTTATATTCCCATAGTCGAAGGAAGTCTTAATCGTTACGTCAAACACATCCGACCAAATGAATCTTCCATCACTTTGTTTTGTTCACCAACCATCATGTGGCCATGACTTCCTTGTTTTTTTGGCTGGTCTTGAAGAACAAATTGCTTCCGGTGCATGTCTCTGAGCTCCTTTGGAGTGCCATGCACGCAATTGACCTATGGAGTCAAGGCTTTTTTGTTTTTTGTTTTTAATTTTCTGTAGTTCTATTTTTCTTTTCAAAAAAAAAAAAACAGAATGAGATTTTTATCTGTACAAATTATGAAAATAACGTTTTTGTTCTTACACATTTTAATATACATTTTCCTCGAAATATTATATTTCACACACTTCCTTGAAAAAAAAAACTCAAAACGTTTTTTCTTTAAATTATAGTCATGATAGATGTTTTGAATTTAAAATACATAAAAATTAACATTTCTGAAATATTTCTTACCATCATAATAAACAATAAAAATTAATGGGTCTTAGTCATGCTAATTATGTATATGATTAATATTAGTGGTATGAGAATATATCAAAGAAAAGATCTAAAAGAATTTAATAAAACTACAAATAAATATTTAAATATTTTAAATTTAATTATATATATATATATATATATTTTATGAATTTTAATGGTTAAAAAATTCCATATAATCTAATCCAAAATAATTGAGATTAAGTATATATATATATATATATTTATATTTATATATATATATATCGTCCCATGATGGATGCTGCAGCTATAAAGAAGAACCATTAGCGGACAGCATCCGCAACCCTTCACCACCACCACCACCACTCCTGTGTTCCTCTCCTCTTCGCCAATTTGATCTCCTTCTCTTCCTCTTTGACTACATATCATGTCGGCGAAGGGCTGCAGCCACCACCACGGGCACTCGTACTGGCACTGGAAAAAGCGGTACCGCTACATCTTCTTCGGCGCGCTCTCCTTCATCATCCTCGTCCTCTTGGCCATCTTCATCATCTGGCTCGTCCTCCGCCCCTCTAAACCCAGCTTCTACCTCCAGGACGCCTCCATCGCCCAGTTCAACTTCACCGCCGGCACCAACCTCCTCACCGCCATCATGCAGGTCACCGTCTCCTCGCGCAACCCCAACGACCGCATCGGCATCTACTACGACAAGCTCGACGCCTTCGCCGTGTACCAGGAACAACGGGTCACCACCTCCACGGAGCTCCCCACCGGATACCAGGGCCACAACGACGTCGTGGTGTGGTCGCCCTACCTGTACGGCGCCGCCGTCCCGGTGACGCCCTACCTCTCCGTCGCCCTGGACCAGGCCAACGCCGCCGGCCTCCTCCTGGTCGACATCAACGTGGAGGGGCGGCTCCGGTGGAAGGTCGGCACGTGGACCTCCGGCCACTACCACATCCATGTCTCCTGCCCCGCCTTCATGGCGATCGATCACGGTAGCGGCAGCAACGGCGATGCACCGTCGTTCCACTTCCAGCACGCCACTTGGTGTAGCGTCGACGTCTGAGGCTCGTCCTGTAAGCCACTGACGCCGGTCATCACGAGTTTGGGTACTATACGATTGGGTGGAATGACACTAGGAGTGATCAACTTGTGGGTTACATGAATTAGCTATAGGTTTTCGAGATTGCAAGAAGAAATGGATTGGATTCATTCCAGAAAAGTTGGGTTTTCGAGATTGCAAGAAGAAATGGATTGGATTCATTCTAGAAAAGTTGGGATATATTCTAGCCTGGAGGTCGCGGAGGATCCTTTCAAGTCCTTCCCCGAGGACATGAGAGTCGATATGCCGGACGAAATCCCTTTTGACGATAGCCCCGAAGCTTGTTCGGTGCAATGCCCTCTCTTACCAACCACCGCCCTCCAATACTATCACACACATACCGATCCTAAAGTTTCACCAGCTAAATTAAAAATATATTGGATGAGATAATAATATTTCTGACTATTTATTATAAAAATATGTAGTAGATTATTGTGTGATTTTATTCACAAGATATATATATACATACATATTTTAATGAAAACAGGGTCAGATCTTGAGAAGGGAGAGGCTCTAAGAAAAGTAATGTTGCTGATTTAGAGTTTATCCTCAGACCCCCTCCTATAAATAGACAGGTTTATGAGATACACTTACAGAGGACTCTTTAGCAACAACATCTACTGTGACTCAACAGAGACGCTATTTAGTAACACTAGGAAACACTTCCATCAGTGGCAAGAAATTGATAAATTGTTTTATAGACATTCTATTGTTTCAGAAGATATTCTATTGTCAGGCAATAAGAACAATAGGACTAAGATTATTATATCAGCATGGTTTTGTTGCTCTACAGACGTAATAAAAAGATAAAAAACATACATGAAAGATATGATAACAGGAGATTTAAAGAGAGCTTACTTCTAGCTTAAGCTCCGTAAATGGCTCTTGCCGAAAGCTTGATTATGCTCCATAAATTTGTCCGGCCGCATGTTTATGCGGATCAAAAGCATCTGGGCTACTCCTACTCCAGTCGCTGCAAATGTTCCGCTACTGGACTATCAACATGGGCATTTTCACCGATGCCGACGCCAGAACAAGTATGGTGCAGAAGTTGCTCACTTAATCACAAGTCTCGGGGGTCTCATGTGAAGTCCAACTAGGAGGGAAAGTTCTCTGCAATGCTTCTGTAAGTTCACCTCCGGTTCTCTCGATCTTGCGCAAACACTTGGACCAGTGAATAGCAGTGTCTAGATCGACTGTGAGATCATTTTCTACCATTTCTTTACAAACACGCAAAATTCCCGAGAATAAGTAGTCTTCAGCAACGGTTGCCCTTGACAGCAGAGAAGTTACAAGGCAATGGTATGCTGCCCTGTCAGGCTTTACACCTGCCAATTTCATCTCTTCAAAGCATTCTATGGCTTTTTCAGGAAGTGAAGCCCGTGCCCAACCTCTGATCAGTGTGGTGTATGTTTTAATATTAGGCCTCACTCCAGCGGCCTCCATCTCTTCAATCACTTTTGATGCTCTCTGCACAGAAAAAATCTAACTGAAAGCAAAGCCAGATTTAAATATGCCATCTAGAGAGAAGCTCTGGTGCTGATGTAAAGAAATCAAGTCACTACCATGACACAGTGAAAGCAAAGATAGAGACAAATCAACACCATCACACATGTAAATAGGGTTAGATTAGCAGACAGCTCTTGCCAGTTGGTATGGAGCCCATGTCATCTGACACATATGCCAACACATTAAAAGGCATGCGCCAAGTTGCTACAAAAATGAAAAACTTTTGCAGTGTAGAATGGTTACAAAAGTGGTTAAAAGTACAAAGTCCAAGAGATCATCCAATGACAGCATATAGAATGATCAAATACTCAACGTCCGTTGATAGGCATTACATATCTTGTCCTCAAAGAGTAAACTATAAGCATTTTAGGCTTCTAGCTAATGGCTTTCTCCGAGAAAAATAACACCACTTTTAATCGATTTCAATATACAGTTGGGTCGTCGCCCAAAAGTGACGCGAGACACCTTCACCACCTAGGTATCCCGAATTGCAAACGGTGGACTAGGAGGTTGCTCGGAAGTGGCCCAACTCGAAACTTAGTTAAACATATAGCTTTTAAAATATCTCAACGACGGCAAAGGATCAGACACATCTTTGTTGTTGTTGTTGTCGCTCCTTTGAGAACAACGGAACGCTTATATAGTTCTTCCATGGAAGACTATTACCATGATATCTTCATTATCATGAAAAGGTTTCCGAAGCATTTGTCCAAGACCTTGTAGTTCACTTCTAGCAGAGACTACATATTTCTTATTTAAGTGTCAAATGAAATTTCCTATTTTCTTTTCTAAATTTATGAATCACAACATCATTTTTCTTTTACAAAAATGTCAACCTAAACCAATTAGACAGTTGTCTTACATAAGATGAGCCATACATGACTCACCTAGAGCCTCAATGGCCTGCCTAATGATTAACAATTAGGCAAATTCCTAAGCAGGTGGGCAATAACAAAGCAGTCTGTTCCCCGACTTATCACAGACTTAACTGGTTTTACCTAAATTGTGAGACACCCTTGCGTGTTCGTCCGCAAAGGGTCAGCCTCCTCGAAATCTCTTATGGTCCCTTAAAGACTTAAAAAATAGAAGACGGGTTAGAGAAAACGTTTAACTTGGGATCTACAAGCAGCCATTTTAGTAAACAATTGATACGTAATGCAAATTATAAACATAGACTTCGCAAGCTCTGAACAGTCACGCGACAAAGAGTCCAATGTGGTCCGTCGCGACCAAAAGTCTCCACAAGTGCCCACATAATATTGCTACGGAACAAGACAATAAACAAGCCTTAGATACTACTCCAAAGGCCCATCGAGCCATGTGCCACTCTGGTAGTTCCTGGGTGCTGCGTTAGCTGACACTTTGCACCACTCTGCGAAGCTAGAAAACCCCCCAAAATGGCTACTTGGATGACTTGTTTCTAGGCAGTTTTGCCTCTACACAACGACTGCACACAACCTGCGTTTACAAGCCTGAAACGACCACAAAAGCCAACTAAAATGGGGCTGTCAAATCTACTGCAAGCCCTCTACATGTTGTGCAAAACATGAACAAAACCGAAAAACACGGACATACACAAGCATTACATCAAACACCCTGTTTACAGCTATGTCCATGACATTCTCCCCCACTTATTCCTTCGACGCCCTCGTCGAAGCCTTTATGGACGTTACATCTCCTCACCTTTGCTGAATCTTCAATCTTTTGCTCCAATTGCAATGAGCCTCTTGGCTCCCAGCTACACTCTGTCGTTGTTGTTGAGTAGTCGAACTTTGATCCGTCATATTGCTTCAACTCACCAATGACTCTAACTATGGTGTGGGGTCGACCGAGTTGTGCTGATCCTAGTTGGTTGCGGATCCTTTAGATAAAGGAAAAGACCTTCCTTGTTATGTGTCAGTCTCTCAAATGTCTCTTGTTGCTTGAACTTGCTGGATGCCTGTTGGAGTTTTAACGAGGATCGCCTCGCAGACTTTAAAGTTTTTAGGGTCTTTCCTTCGCAAAATTTGCCCATCGATTCCTCTTCTACTTACTTATCGCCTCCAAGTAAGTTCGCTTCACTTCCGCTTTCGATTGACATTCTATTGGGAAATGAAGCGAACGATCTACTCTCAATAACACTTATTACCACTGGTGAGGATTTGATAACTGTTGTCTTCCACTAAGTTTCTTCGAAGGGTCTTTGAACCTATGCAGAGCTCCTCTGCTGGATAAATAAGAGAACTGGGGTACTCAGTTTTGCCCATTCTCTTAGGAGTTGAGAAGGCAAAGGTTACTCGACTTCGCTCGCCTTTGCTGGTTATTAGCCTTCGCTTGCTCTTTGCTCACACTTCCAAAACACTCGAAGTGTTTGCACTGCTTGTATTGAGTTAGCTACTACGATTCGCCTTCTTATTGTCACTATACTTCTGGAATGCAAGAAGTTTTACTCGAAAAGAGCAAAATTTTACTCTAACTTGAGTAGAAAAGGTATAGCACCGCGTAGTATCTACTTCGTTCTTTGGTCGAGCACTCCTAAATCGACCCGAAGTCCTCCACTTTATGTTATTTTAATAAGAAGTCCATTGACACTGGTCTTACAAAATTCTTTGGCTTCTACCCTTTAGCCTTGTCTTGGTACTTAGAGTCTGTCTCTACATTCTCCACCTCCTCGGTCCCTTTCATGACCAAGCGCTCTCCCTCAATGAGAGCAAGGAATCGATGACTCCATGGAAGTCCCACCTCTTCGGTACCACGGCGCTGCCATGCTTTTTTCGACTACCTACTTCAACACCTCTGTGTTTCTCCGAGCAGTTCCCTTTGGTCAATGGAAAGACAGACTACAACTCTTATACATGGCCTCCGCCATCATGTTGTTGGGCTCGCGCCAATTATGTTCTCCTTTGCTTCCTTGGTAGCAACATTCACTTACTCGACTTTATCCTCTGACTTGTCGGGTTCCTTTAAGCGAATATGAGCTCTGGAGCAATCCACTCTCCAGTCGCTCCGATCATACCTCTACATGATCAAGCCTCCCCATGGGGGACTCACTGGTACTTGCACTCAGAATTTTCTCTCGGTGGTACACAACCCCAATATGCTGATGACCAAGGCTTCCATCCGATGCAAAATTCGATGCACACACGGAAGACCCACCTTTACGGTACCATGACATTCACTCATTGAATCCATAGCCCTTCTTGTTGTCATGTTGTTCACCGAAGTGAAGCTCTTAGTAGCTCCCGATCATACCTCCGTATAATCTAGTCCCTCGTAGGACCTCTCCTGTGTGTGTTGCATTGCCTCGAACTATTCCACCATGATCCATTGCCCTATATCACCTCCTGGTGGCATCTCCATTGCATTATGATCTTTGTGGGATGAACTCGGACTGTGATCTCTCTATGAATGGCCTTTGACAGCACATCGTAGGGCCTCTGCCACCTCCGATTATGTTCGCTCCTTTGGTAATCTAGCTTCATCCACCTGCTCTCGAGTCACACCCAAATGAAACATAGCTCTAGGATAGTCTGTCGCCTAGCAGCCGGTGGACTTCGCTAAAGTTGGTGCACCATTGTCTGGATCCTGAGCCTCTGCCCCCCTAGCACAATCTCTCCAATGCACCACTTCATTTGTGGTAACTCGAATGGCAACATTACGATATATTCTTCAAGAGTACTCGCCTCCTGCGTTATATTGCCCCGTGCCAAGCCCTTCTGACCCCAACTTCGCCTCTACAAGTTGAGTAGTCTTAATTCCTCTATTAAATGCTTCACCGAGATAAGGTGCATATGCCTCGAAGCTCTCTTTAACTTTGGTACTATGCAAGTTGAGTCCACTCCAGAATGAGGGACCCATGTAACGACATGATCTCGCTCTTACCTTTGTAAGAGTTCATGTCCTTGACCTCTAAGGAAGGATTCGTGCCTCCGCTCTATGTTTCGTCTTCTATGTCGACTCCCTTCATACGACTTGAGCACTTCATCAAGTTCCACCCAAATTACTTCGCTCCTCGATTTGCATTTAGTTGATGGTGGCCCTTGCGCCCACCATTCCACGGGTCAGCCCTCTGTTGAGTCTGATTTCCACATCGACTCTAAGTGTGCCTTCGTTTGGTGTTGCCTTGGGGCTACTCCCCCACTTGATCTCACAATGCATTCACCAAAGCATTACCTCATGCAAGATCATGCAATGACTCCTCGTCGCTCGCTCGGTCCGTTGAGTTTTATGGAGTTATTGTCTTAAGATACCCCCTCCTCAATATGTGCAGTCCATTGCACATGATTATCTCTTTGGAGAACCGGGATTTATCCCTCCTAAATATCTATCCCATTGGAACAACTTCTCTCTTTACATCCTTCCCTCTGGAAGTTTCGAAGACAACCATCCCCTTGGACTACTTCGCCTTGCTGAATAAACTGTGCACTATTCCGTCCCTGCAAACGCACTACCTAGATTGCGACTCTTCGCCAATACAACCCCCCGCTACGCCCCTCAAAGCCTAGCAGCATGATGAACTCGCTGCACATTTCAACCTCCTACGGACGTATCCTTCCCATGCTAAAGAGAAAGTTTTAATGTTCTATGGCACCGAGTTTCGATTACCTTGGGATGGCCATGAACAGTCCATTGTCCGCATACAAGCTCTTGTATTAGTACTAAATTCTTCGAGTTAGTAATTCCCCTCACCTCTGTAAGCTTTGCACAACTCTTTTGGTTCTTGAGCAACCAATCCCACCTTGCACGGTCTTATCCTTTGCCAAGCGTCCTGCTTGCCTTGAGCATTATCAATTTGGTTACCAACGTCAAATCATAGCTCGAACTCAGCCATCCTAACCTTTATGCACTACACATTCTTCTCGGCTCAATTATCCTCGTGGTGCCTCTCGCGTGAAGGGTTGGTCATTCCTCTAAATGTCAATCTCGGATGCCCGCTCCTCTGAGCGACTCCTTTCCTTACATCTCAATGCTAGTTTCCCCCAAACAGTCACGCATGCTAGCTACCCTCAATGCAACCCCGCTATGTCCCCCACGTTTACATGTCAAGTGTTTCTAAGCGTGATTGTCCCACTCTGATACCATTTATCATAGACTTAGCTAGTTTTGCCTAAGTCGTGCGACATCCTTGCATGTTTTTCCGCAAAGGATCAACCTTCCTGAAATCTCTTATGGTCCCTTAAGGACCTACAAAAGAGAAGACGAGTTAGAGAAAGCGTTTAACTCGAGATCCACAAGCAACCATTTCAGCAAACACTTGATAGACAATGCAAATTACAAACATAGAGTTCACAACCTCTAAACAGTCATGTGACAATATTCTAAAGTGGTCCGCCATGACCAAAAGTCCCCATAAGTGCCCACATGATATTGTTGTGGAACAAGACATCAAACCAACCCTAGACACTACCCCAAAGGCTCATCCGATCATGTGCCACCCGAGTAGCTTCTGGGTGTTGTGTTGGCTGACACTCTACATCACTCTACAGAGCTAGAAAGCCCCCAAAATGGCTACTTGGATGGCGGGTAGTTTTGCCTCTATGCGACGATTGCATACAACCTACGTTTACACTTGAAACGACCACAAAAGCCAATCAAAATAGGGCTACCAAACCTACTGCAAACCCTCTACATGTTATGCAAAGCATGAACAAAACTGAAAGACACGAATATACACAAACATTACATCGAACACCCTGTTTACAACTATGCCCATGACAAACTATTAAATCATATTGTGGAACACGTTCTATAATAGTCCCTTAATGATACACTCTACATAAATAACTCATACATATTATCTCTCACTTCTCATGATTTCCTATTTCAACAAAGTGTTGAGAGACAGAAAAGTATGAAGATCCATTAATTGGAGAGCAAAGAATAGACATTCGTGGAAAGCAACTAAAAAAATAAAAGGGTATAGATTTCCTTTCTCCACCCTTTTCTCATATCTTTTATTGATCAATTGGAAGCATCCTCTGGCTATCTGTTTGCTTACTTAAGTCTCCTAAAAAATGGACTGGACTAATAGTTGCATGACATAACTTTTACTTTTCCATCGTACTCTCTAACTTCACTCTCATTCAGCTTGCAAATGAAGTCTTTTATCCTTCTACACCAACGAAATCAATAAGTTCTTAACGCAGCATGTGATATAGTACTAAAATTTTATAACAATGGCAATGTTTGAATGGAATATGTCCTAGTGTAATGTGTAAAGCACTTCTGGTTACCGGCATATGACCAGCCTTGCAGCATGCATTTATTAAGGAAGTGTATGTATGAATGTCAGGAGGAACTCCATCTTGTTTCATCTGTTGCAACAGATCATCAGCTTCCCAAACATCCCCTCTTCGGGCCCATCTGCATAATGTGACAACTGGTTAGTCACTTTACTAAAAAAAATAACTGAAATAAGGACTACGGATCAAGAGATATACAATCTTCAGCAGAAAAAATAAATATATCTGAAATATAATGACTGCTACAGTAAAATTCTAACAGATTTATCCTTCAGATATCATATAATTCATTGTTTGGTTCATGCCTGTCTTTCCTAGATGATCTATTGAGTAGATTTGGTGATATCAATTCTATGTGTGCATTGACACTCACGATATGCTATAGCAGATGCCAACCACCACGCTGTCCAAAACACTTTCACATTTTAAAAAGCAAACAGAGAACCCCATTCGAAGTCTACTGACTAGATTTGGTGATATCAATTGTGTGTGTGCACTGACACTCACGATATGCTATAGCAGATGCCAACCACACACCACCCTGTCCAAAACGCTTTCACATTTTAAAAAGCAAACAGAGAACCCCATTTGAAGTAGTATTCATAAGAAGTTAAAAAAAAAAAAAATCCACACTATATATGCCTCCATCTCCAAATGAAAGAATGTGTATTATAAGTTATGAATTGTCTTCATGTACAATCAATTTCCATGTTAAAAAGAAAAAGATGTGAATACAGCAATGAAAATTAAGACATTTCAAAAAACAGTGTAGAGCAAGAAATTAGGATTTGGGTTGACAATATTACCCGTCAATTAATATATTGTAGACAAATGAGTTCCTCGCTATCTTTTGAGCACTCATTTCTCTTGTGACTGCAAGAGCACTCTGCATTCTTCCAGATTTGCAGCATGCCTTGAGAAGTGCTTCATAAATGAAAACATCTAGCTCTAAACCTGCTTCTTTGATTTTGGTAAAATACTCGAAAGCTTTACCAATATCACCATCAGTAGCATAGCCTTGCATGATTGTCGTGTAGGTATGCTTACTTGGCTTTATGCCAGCTAAAGACATCTTATCGATAACTTCAACAGCTTTCTCCATCTACAAAAAAAATAGAGAAGCATCCATATGTAAATGATCAATGTGAAAAAAGCATAAACTACTAACCATGTCAACTACCTTATGCTTCTGAACAAGGCCGTGAATAAGAACATTGTAAACTTCTACAGTTGGCACACAACCACTTCGCCTCATTAACTCAAAAATTTCCAAAGCTCTTTTCATTTCACCAGCTGCTGCAAAGGCATCTATGATAGGCAAAAATGTGCGAGTGGAAGGCCGATGCTTTCCTTTCTGCATTTCATGAACAATCTGAATGGCTCGGTCAGTATTACCCATCTTACTGAATGCACATACAATGTTATTATAGAGAACGACATCAGGTTTCAGCCCCAATTTTAGCATTTCCTCGAAAATGCCGAAAGCATTAGCAAAGTCATTCAATCGGATGAAGCCATTGATCAACATTGAGTAGGTCTTGTGGTTATGCTTTATTCCACTCAACTCCATTGTTCTGCTAACTTCAAGGGCCTTGGAAACTTTCCCAATCTGAATTTGAGCCCTTAATTAGCTGTTGTTTAAAGTAGATAGTCACAGGGAACAATGATAAAACTCAACATTTTCAATGTCAGGAAAAAATACATTCCAAAAGTCAAAAGATGAACTAAATGGTAGCAAACTTTCTTTACCTTAATGTACAGGTTAATAAGGCATCCATAACTGATGACTGAAGGTGCAAATCCACATTCCTGCAGAACACACAAACAGAAGCAAAGTTCAAATAATAAGACAGTTCAGACTACAAAATATCAGCACTAAATTTTAATTACTCTACTCCCCAATAGTTTGATTATAACTGTTTCATGCTTCTCTGACCAGTTAACATTTCAACTTCATCAAGCTACAGATACTGATATAAAATACGCATCAATGACGTATATCTAATTCAAATTCCAAATAAATATCTGAAAGATTAGGTATCATATGCATCAAATGCTATACACTGTGGAACCACATAAGAGCCATGAAATGCTGTGGAAGAACCATGTTCTAAGTTACAAGACATACCCAATTATATCAGGATGCTGATAAGCCTTTACTCTTTACAAAAATACTACTTGTGAAATGTTGTCTAATAGTTTTCCAAATGGTTATAATACTTTTTTCAACATTATAGTACATATTTGACAACTTCCTTTGGAGATATCTAAAACAAGAGAGAAAAACCCAAAATAGAGATGTATCATTTAACAGAAGAGATCTGCTACAACTGCTGGATATGCAATCACAATTATATACTACATCTATTTTGCATTCTTTCTCTAAAGTAAATATTTTTTGGCAACTTTTTTTTCATTTGTGATAGGTAGCATTCAGAGAGGATATAAATATATGCATGATAATCAGGTTTTTTTCATCTAGCTCTACTCTCCTAAAGGAACTCAGATAACAAAACAGAGATAAGGGAGAAAAAAGGAAGTAATTCTTTCAAGAAATACATGAAGATACAAGATATGAAGACATGTCCAGTTTACCATAAAATAACAAGGAGAATAAATGCCAAATGCCAAAATATCTCCATGAGCAAGTAGAAGACACCAAAATGATCAGAATTATAAGATAAACTAAATGACAATCTTAGTCTACCTTAAGCCTTTCAAATACAATCAAACATTTTTTCTCATCCCGAATATTGGTATAACCATCCATCATAGTGTGGTATATGTTAATAGGAGCATCAATTCCTTGTTCTTCCATTTCTCGAACCAAAACTTCAGCTCGAGCCATATTGCCACTTTGACTGCATGAGAAAATATTCAGCAAAAAACAAGAATTCTGAAAATTAATAACCAAACCATATACGTTGATTTAATCTAAAATTTTCCTAAAAGATAAGAATGAAGAAAAGATGCCTCTCTGTGTGTTCGAAATTGATGGGGTGTTTGCTATTGAAAATATAACTTAATAACATTTCTACTACTTCTGTGACTAAGGGTCCTTGCTATAATACTACCCAACTTCCAAAGATGCATGCCAAGATATCAAGCACGTAAATTACAGGATTCACCACAACAAATTTCTGGTTAGTGTTACTGAAGGTTTATTACATGACTTTATGAAGCGGATATTCCAACATGCATTACAAAGATTCAGTTAATTATCACTCTAATTTTGAGGAATCATGAATGTTGGACAGCAGCAGGTGCTCAAATGAAAAATGCATAACTAGCAACATGTAGTAAAACATAACTGGAGTACTATCTTACAAATGTCAGTGCACAATATCAAATAGCACAACAAAATGGTCATTAGTGTTACTATGAAAATACTAACCAATGAGCATAAATAATGTTGCTATATATGATGGCATTCAGGGACGCAAGTTTCTGCTTTGCCTCTATAAAGAAGTTATCTGCAGATCTTCCAAAGTAAGAAATAGCATTAGCGAGTATCAAAGCTAATATATATCTCATCACTAACTCTTGATTAAGATAGAAAAGTATTTGATATCAGAAAAATAAAATAAAGCAATATTTGAATTTTTCTATAAAAAACACAATCTGCCTCATCAGATTATGCATCTCTCAGCTGACTAAACCAGGTTCATGATATTTTTTACCAAACTCTACTTATTGTGACTATAAGAACTTTCAGCATAAAAGGCATGATCAACAACATGTATCTATGTAAAGTCTTCCATTTGACAAAATAACATTTATTATGTCTTAACACCAGATCAGTTAATGTGAATAGGGATCAAGATATTCATTGGCATTATAGGCTACACAAATTAAATGAAACAGGATCACAACAAACTATGAAGAACAAATGCTGATACTCACTCAACAGCATTGACTTTGGCAAAACCAGCTATAAGGATACTGTATGTTGCCACAGTCAACTCAATGCCCTCAGTCTTCATTTCACCCACGCAAGATAATGCCCCTTGCATATCTCTGGCAACTGCATAAGCGTGAACAAGGCTGCATGAAATGAATTATCTTCAATGAAGGAAAATGGATAACAAAATCAGTTAATCTAAGGTCCCTTTGGTTAAGAAGGAAAAGATTCAGCATGAAAATCCAAAGCCATGAGAAAATATTAGCAAAATATTTGATATTAAAAATTTTGCTTGGGTTGGTTTGGTCTGATATGGGTTATACCCTCTGGTAAGCTCAGCAGTAAGCATACTAGGTTTACTAAGTTGTAAACAGCCTAGTACCTGTATCAGGACAGTACATCATCCTATACGTTGTATGTCAATCCATAATGGAACTATATTGGACAAATCCATAGGGCAGTCACCTGCGGATTTTGTATATGGTGCTATCATAGATGAAAAAAGAGATATCTACAAGAATGTGAGAAATTCTTACAAGTCATATCTTGATTCTGTTGATCACTACTTGTGGAGGCCACTAGCAGGGTTTATCAAAGGATGATGATAAAGTCTATCTACACAATGTTTTTAACTGTAAAATCTTAAATTTGCAATTAGTTTGTGAATTACAATATCTTATATAATAGCACACTGGTGATCAACCTATTAAGCATGGGACACATTTTCATCAATGGCTATAAATTCTTAATTTGATATGTAATTCAACAGGGTGTGAGAGTAATAGGAGTCCACATGAAGGGGCAAATTTGTTTGTTAAGTTTAGAAATTTTAAAATTTATCTTGTGTAAGGTTCTTGTTTACAAGTTGATGTTTACATGATGACTTGCAGACTCATACAAACAAAAAAAAAAAGAATAAGCTTGAACTTAAAAGGTGAGTAATTTTGTTTATGTGCAATTCAATGCAAGGCTAAATTAAACAAAATATGCAGTAAAGAGACCCTTTAGTCACATGGGGCCTAGTTGTAGAAGCTTCAAGCATCAATAAGGAAAAAGCAACACAGAAGAAGCCAGAGAATTGATCACGGCGCCACTGCTTCAGCTTCATGCCTTCAGTTTTGATGGAATTGAGGGCTAGGATCATTGTCTTATTTTATAGGTGTAAAAAGCAATTTTCTTGGAAGATACTGAAAGTCAAGGTTTTCTTACTCAAGGGGGCAGAAGAGGATGTGCTATGGATAGACAGAAACAAATTACAGCAGAATTAAAAGGTAATGAAGTGGTATCTAGAAACTTGAACAGAACAGGACAGAGGGCTTTTTCTATGAATTACTATCTCTTAGTGAATTGTTGAAACTATTTCAGAATGAAGAAACTTCCTTCTAAACTAATATAATATCATGATAAACATTATAAATATCATACTGTTTGATAATAAGCATTACAGGAACAAGGAATTAAAGCAACTAAAGACTAAAATAAAAGGCACGAACATCAAAATTAGAATTTAAAAATAAACCAAAAAATATGCTTAAAAAGTTCCACTTCAGGCTTCATTAAGTTTATCATCGAACACAAAATTTTACCTATTTCAATAAAAAAGATTCGTTGACTTGAATTTAAGCAGTTTGTGAAAAGATTCAGATTTTTAAATCATTTTCTCCCTCTTATGTTATGTTTTAACACGAGAAGATTCTATGGCATCCATTGTTTAACAGTGAACCTGCAAATATTTGATCAGTTGTAGCTGTTCTGATGTCATATGTGCCTTTTTAAGTTCTGTAATATATTTTTGCAAAAAACATACAAATGCACCTTAAATACATGCATACGATGAGACCATTTAATCAAAATTTCTTCGTTTTCTCTGGTCTAAGTTAAACTACAACACATATAACAAACTCTATCCATCTCTGTTTACAAACAAAGTGCATTTGTTGCAATAGGCAAGTCTAATAAATAATAACAATGTTCATACCTTGTAAAGATGCGTTCATCTGGTTCAATTCCTCTGGCTCTCATGCTCTCAAAAGTTGCTCGTGCATGATGCTTATCACCCCTTCTTGCATAGTACTTCACCATCAAACGGTAATCTCCTAAAGAGGGCTGAATCATAAAGTACATCCTCAACAAACTTATATGAAGTCAAATATAGATTAGTTATGTTGGAAAATATACTGTCAAGTTTCCAGCACATTTAATCAGGTGACAAACAGTAAGCCCCACTTAAAATAGAGCACTGATCTTTATTTCATACTTTTATTTCAGTGTTGGTTATTAGTTTAGTGTTCAATACCTAAGTACATACAGTCATAAATTCTAGAGTACCCCTACTCCTTATTTTTATTTGCTTTAGTTTCAATAACAATTTAAATTGAGCACTGGATCATCAATCTATAAGATCACAAATTTCTACCTAGTAATGGGGATATCTCCAAATCTGACATATTCCAATCTAAGATTCTGAATCAACAACAAAGTGTTTTTTATTATTTTTACCTTTTTTGAGTCATTAATTGCTGTCTAGATATTTAAAACATGAGTACCTATCTATTGTCATAACGTACTGCAAGCTCCAAATTTGTTTTTTAGCTTGGTTCAAAACCAAAATTGAATCAGATCACTGACTTATGGATTTATATTTGTCTACCTCAGCAAGTATTCTTTTAAAATTTCCGTTGAACATAACCAGATCTGACAATAAATTAGGTAAAAATATTTCCTCAGCAAATATTTGAATGAGCCCCAAATTTTGAAGGCCATGTTTCCAGGAAGCACCTTTTTATTCTCCAACCATTCTTCAAAAATTTAGTGTTAAGTCTCTCTTTGGTAAACTTTCCTACATCACTTTTTTCTCCAATAGTATTGTGTTCACTAACGTAGTTTTAAGAAAAATATCATGATATGAAGATTACTACACGCTAAGTTTTCTGAAAAATCTAAAACTTTGTGCTGACATGTCATTATGCAAGTAATTTGTTCCCTCAAAAAAAGAACTACACTTTTTCACTCAAGTGTTTTTTTCTTACTTCTGCGGTTTCACTGAAATAATTATACAAACAATAGAACACCCAAATGAGAGTACTAGAGCAACAGCAGATTACCTTTGGTATTTTATCAAATGCCGACACCACCGCCTGCCAATCCTCTGGCTTAGTGTCCAAAACCTTCATAAACCTGACGCTAGCATTCCCCCTCTCCTCATGCCACTTTGACCTGTACTCCCTTCCGTTGGTCCCTGCCACCCACCTCGCCTTCTCCTCCTTCCTTGCCCTCACTTGACCGCCATCATCCAACCTTACCGTCAAGACTCTTCCATGGAACTCCACTCCGTCGAACTCCACCGCCCTGGCCGCCGAGTCTTCCGCAGTGGGGCCGCCATATAACAGGAAGCAATACCCAACATTGCGCTCGGGGTCATCGTGGTCCCTAATCAGCTCGACTTTCTTCAATGGTCCGAATTGCCGGAAGAACTCAGCGATCTCATTCTTCCTGATCCACTTTGGAATATTTCCGACAAAGATCTTACCTTTCACTCGGAATTCAGAGGCCTCGGTCGTGGAACCAGGATCAGAAGCAACTGAGGGAGGATCTTCGACATTGGATTCGGGTGCATAGGCTTCCACCGGAGAGGGAGGCAGTGGAGGTGGAGGCGGTGGGGGGGAAAGCTTACTGGAGAGCCAGAGTTTGGGGGATAGGGGGTTGACAGCGGAGGGTTTAGGGGGGTTAAGCGGGGCAGGGGGAGGGACTGCGGGGATCGAGGGGGTCGGTGCGGTGGGGGGTGGTTGACGCGAGGGGTCGAGGGGGCGGCGGACGGCGGGGGAGGGCAGCCGGGTGGCGGCGGATTCCGGCGGGACCTTATGGGATGCGCGAGGGACGAGGAGGCAGGGCTTCGCGGCGAGATTCGTATGAGAGAAGGAAGCAGGAAGGAAGAGCAAATCCATCAGCTGTTTGATCGGTGCACCGGGGTACTGTTCATGGCAAGACGAAAGGCTCGAAGGGCGTGGAGCGAGGCTTGGGGGATAACGAAGCTGATGACGGGGGGAGGGATCATGTGGCCCGCGGGTTTATAACGCCACCGTTTTGTTTCCTCTCTATGGAGATTATAACATCTCGTTTGAGGAAGGTTTATAACGGAGCTGATATATTCGGCCCTCGGATACTTTTCTGGGTTTTGAGGTGCAAATTAAAGACCCTTTGGCATGATTGAAAACCCCCCAAACGTCGCAATTTCCGCCAACACTTGCTCTCGATCACCGTCTTAAGCCAAAATCCGGCACCAACTCGAGCAAAAATCATCAAAAAGAACGGGAATTCACACAAAGCTCAAAGAAACTAAGAAAGGGAAGGAGGCATTTAACTCACTCCCGAATGTATCGTTGCCGGTGACGTGGAGAATTTCGCGTGTTGGTGTCAACAACCTTAAGCCGTGGCTTCGGGGCTAACACGGTTGGGTTCGGGTTCGAATGATTGGGGATCTTCCTGAGCGACCCTTGAGACTGTTGGGGTGGCCGACTGCGGTGGTCCGATCGCGACGGGACAATCGTTTCCTCTAGAAGGGAACTCCTCGCTTGGGCACACGGTGGGAGGCGCTCCGTCTTCGTCCCTGCACACAGGTCGGGTTGGGAGGCTCGACCCGACCCCTCCGATGATCAAGTCAGTGGATAGTTTTATGGGGTTCTTTTTTTTTCTCCCCTCCTCAAGCCGAACGCGAGGGTTTTTATAAGGAAGTTTACTATTTACTGATGTGTCCGCTTACAGGGGGGAGGCCCATACTTTCGATAGCGTCCGACACCAATGTGGGCGTTGCGTGAAGAACCGGGCTTGCCCAGGACGTGACGTACCCCGGTCATCGTCCTGGTCTGCCTCGATTAGTCACGTCAAGTCAAACCGGGGCGCGGATCATTATCTTGAAGGAACTGATGTCAACGCACATCCCATCATTATCACCACTATCAATTACCACTATCGTATCCCCCCCCCCCTCGAAGGAAGCCATGCGTGGTCTCGGGCAACATGCGACCAAGGAGCATGGCTCGGGCGGGCAAGCCGCACAAGCGTGGTCTCGGGCAACATGCAACCGAGGAGCGCGGCTCAGGAACTGTACACCTTGCCTTGTCCGCGGGGGGCTACATCCCGAGATAGCTCGAGAACTGTACACCTTGCCTTCTGAGGTTCTTCTTGGCAAGTCTGCCAAGTCGCTGCTATGAGTAAGGATCTTGGCATCGGCTCCCAGCTCGCACCCAATCGGTATTGTATTGATGCCTTTCCCTACAGGGCCAGCATTACGCTGTGGCGTTGATGGACCACGTGCGTGACGAGGGGCGAGTCATCAGCATTTTGAGTGACCGCAACGCTGAGCTACGTAAGCAGATCAAGGAGGTCTGTGCCGCCTCCGCCTCCAGAACCGAAGTACGCTGCTCGGCCGCTATTGCCTCGGATTTAAGGCGCGTCGCCTCTGCCTCCAGATCCGAGGCACGCTGCTCAGTTGCAACGACAACCTCAGGAGCCGCTCCCGCGCGGACCTCCTCGATCTGCTTATGCAACTCGGCGTTGCGGTCACTCAAAATGTTGATGACTCGCCCCGTGTCACGTACGCGGTCCATCAGCGCCACGGTGTAATGCTGGCCCTGTAGGGAAAGGCATCAATACAATACCGATCGGGTGTGGGCTGGGAGTCGATGCCAAGATCCTTACCCATAGCAGCGACTTGGCAAACTTGCCAAGAAGAACCTCGGAAGGCAAGGTGTACAGTCCCGAGCTATCTCGGGATGTAGCCCCCCACGGACAAATGAGGCTACAGCGTCCCCGTCGGACCATACTCGGTCCCCTCGGGACAACCCTCCCCAGCGGGCCACCAGCGGGTCGGAAGCCTGACCCTCCGGAAGCTCGCCCATCGCCCGAGCCTGGTAGGGGTCATTCTTCGTCCCCACTGGAAGGCGGCACAAGTCACGAATGGAGGGCTCCCGAAGCCCCTTCCCAACCCCCTCTCTGCTGGGACCGGCCTCGCCACGACCGAGGCTCCTCCTCGCCTGCCCAGCTGATCCGGCAACGGCTCCTCCTGGCTGGAACGCCGGAGTGTCCGATTTCTTCTTGACATCGGTCTTCGCCTTCTTCCGGGGCCGACCAGCCTCGAGTTCCACCGACGCTTCTTTCGAGTCGATCCTCGGCCCGGTCGGTTGACGTGGCGATGTGGCCGACGAGGCACGCCCCCCGCGCATGGCGACGAGATTTACCATCTCTGCACGAAAACACCAACATTGGTCAAAACACCATAAGACAGTTCTTAGAAAACCCTAGCACTACTCGCTACGGGCCTACCTCGAGGCATCGGGCTAAGACCCGCCTCGACCAGCCACTGCTCGGTCATGCTCCGGATGGCTCGGGAGGCCGGAAGAATCTCTTTGAGCCTCCGAATGTCCCTATGCTCCTCGTCGTTCAGAGCCGGGGCGATATTGTCGATCGCGCGTGTCGCCTAGCGGAGCCCAAAGCCCCAGCTCTCCTTCTAGCGCCAAAATGTTGGTGTCAACAATCTTAAGCCGTGGCCTCGGGGCCAACACGGCTAGGTTCGGGTCCGAATTATTGGGGATCTTCCTGAGCGACCCTTGAGACTGTTGGGGTGGCCGACTGCGGTGGTCCGATCACGACGGGACAACCATTTCCTTTGAAAGGGAACTCCTCGCTTGGGCACGTGGTGGGAGGCGCTCCGTCTTCGTCCCTGCACACTGGTCGGGTTGGGAGGCTCGACCCGATCCCTCCGATGATCAAGTCAGTGGATAGTCTACCCAACTCGACCCCTCCGATGATCAAGTCAGTGGATAGTCTTAGGGGCTTCTTTTTTTTTTCTCCCCTCCTTGAGTCGAACGCCATGGTTTTTATAGAGAAGTTTACTATTTCCTGATGTGTCCGCTTGCAGGAGGAGGCTCGTACTTTCGATAGCGTCCGACACTAATGTGGGCATTGCGTGAAGAACCGAGCTTGCACAGGACGTGGCGTGCCCCGGTCGTCGTCCTGGTCTGCCTCGGTCAGGCACGTCAAGTCAAACCGGGGCACGGATCTTGGAGGAACTGATGTCAACGCACATCCCATCATTATCACCACTATCAATTACCACTATCCACCACAGCGCAGAGGATCGCCATGGAAGCTGCATCCTTCTCTCCCTCCTGCGATCGCCCTCCGGTGAGTTTGGGTTCCTTGATTGAAGATTCGCCCAAGGAGGGAGGCTTCGAAGCCGATGCTCCAAGACAGCTGCATCCCTGACACAGGAAACATCTTTTTTTATCCCAATCAGTTTCTCCCACGTAAATGGGTTCGTTTCCGTGGGTCGTCGACGGAACACGATGCCAACCCGATAATGTATCACGAGGAACATAATCTAAAATAAAACAATTAAAGAACTTTACATGTTTCCGTAAGGGTAATTTCGTAATAATGGCACTATAAACGGAATGGTCGGACCGTTTCGCCCTGTGGAGACGAGTCCGCGAGGGAGCGGAGGGATTTCTGTGAAAACCCTAACTGGGAAGAGAGCTCAGTCTGCCATGTTCTAAGCTCCACAAGGAGAAGCAGCTCTTCGAACAACCCCCGCTCCGCTTTGTTACCCGGTCAACGAGAAGCCGATTGTTTCGGTCTTCCGTTTTCTAAGCCGTGGCCGACGGTCTCTCTCCTCTTCTCCTCCTCCCTCGCCTTAAATTATAGTACTAGTGGCAGAAGGGAGAGGATAGCGACCTCACAGGTAACGCGTACCTGGAGAGAGAGAGAGAGAGAGAGAGAGAGAGAGAGAGAGAGAGAGAGAGAGAAGCTGTTCGAAGCAATGGCGGGAGACGATCCGACCTTCCCTGCAGCGAACGCCGACGAAGAGTTGAACCTCCGCAAGCCTGACGAGTTCCCGGTGGATTCCGTCTCATCCGACCTTGCCACCACCAAAGAGCTCAAGGTAATATATAGACATGTAGAATCGAATGAGGAGTTCAGATAAAAAATCATATGGAATGAGAAAAAGTAAAGGCGAGAGATTGCGATGATTGATGTGACTATAGTATGTGTATTTTTATACGCATCTGTATGTAAATTATGTTGCAAGGCGGAGGGCGAGACGAGGACGAGAAGTGGCGGAGCGGACAAGGCGGAGAAGAGCGACCTCGGTGGCAGCCTGATGTCCGTTCTGGTGATCTCCGGCGTGGTCGCCGCGGCTGTTGGTGTGGCATTTTTCGTGAGCAAAAAGCTAAAAGAAGCATAGGGGCATCGGGAAGAAATTTACCGATGGGATCTAATCGTTGCTTTGATCACGTTGAACTCTTACACATCTTTAAGATATACGCTGCTGTTTTATTTTTTCTAGTATTTTTACTGGAAGACAAATTATGTCTGAAGATCTTCCCTTTTTAACATGTCCTGTTTAAATAATAGAGTTTATAAGTTGATGTTATAAAATACGTAGCTTGTTAGTCAAGGTTCGTCGTACCGTATCGCATTGACGTTTCGATCCGTATCGATGTACCGAACGATACATCCTGAATGTATCGAATAATTTTATATTTTTTTCATACTTGTAACAGTGCTATAATATAACACTGTAGCATTATAACGATATCGAACGGTCCGCGTATCGATAATCTGTCGGACTAGTACATACCGTCCGATACGAGCGATACACTTCAATATAACAAACCCATATATTAAAATTATAATAATTAATAATATTAAAATTATAATAATTAATAATATTAAAATATAACACTTCAATATACCGTCCGATACTATCCCATATATTAAAATTATAATAATTAATAATATTTAATCTCGATATATGTATATGACTGAATAATACAAAAATAATTGACAAAAAAATAATTTTAACGATAATGAAAGATGATATTATGAGGACTATTATGGTGATGATTGATAAAATTAACACGGTGATCAAACTTATCATGTCGATCTAAATATTGATGATGAAAAATAAAAAAAGATAGAGCAAAAGAGCAAAAAACATCTACGTCAATGAGACATCATCGCTCCGCCTCATCTTCCTCCTCCCTCCTCGCGAATGTCTCATCGCTCCGCCTCATCGCTACGATAATGAGACACAAATATCTCATCGCTCTTCCTCCTCTTTCTTCACATCATCAATGTTTTGATCGATAACAACAACACCAACCACCATGCCATTCTTATTAACCATTATCACAACTATTCTCGACACCATCGTATATCACCATTATTAAAATTATTTTTTGCTCATCAATTTTGTATCATTCATGCAAATGCTATAGCTTACTCACAATCACTTCTACTTGTTTTTGGCATACACATTTACAGACTAGGCAGACAATCTCTCTCGCTCTTTGTTCTCTTAAAAATGTATTGACCAACCCAATCAAGGTATTCCTTTGGGAGGCCATAATATAGTAACTCTCAGCAACTCCCGCTGCAGCACAGAAAGTAAATCTTAACCATCCAAATTTAATGACATAAGAGAGTTCAATGTGACACAAAATCTCAACATCCAAAATTAAGAAAAGGATTGATGTGCTTTAACAAAATAACTTGATTTTTTTGAGTTGAGAATGAAAGCAATGGTAAACTAAACAGCCCAAGCAGAAGAAACTAATCAATCATATTTGGGAGTTTGGTCTAAATGAAAACCATCTAGGTGTTGGTGGCTCTGGTGTAGATCTGCTGGCTAGCATGTGCAGACACCATCCTGATGGCACCCCTTGCCATCAGATCTTTGATTGCTCTTCGTGCAAGTGACCCATTGATCTGAATACAAGACATTTACATCATTTACAATGCTGGCATAATGCTTGATATACAAGAGAAACAGATACATCGAAAAACAGAACCGACCAAAAACAATTGTTTAGTATGCAATGAGAGATATTGATGTGCTATAATCGCTCTGGAAATCTACGGACAAATTCTACCGACACCTCACCTTACAACCACAGCATGTAAGCAATGGATAGGAGAGGAAGAAAACTAAATTATTTGTGCTACCACGTGTCTAATGCAAGGTTATTTGTCACATACATAACAATTTCTTCTTGACATATGAATTGAAAAGCAAGGTACAATAGAGTATTTCAAATTCATACATGTAATTTGCTGTTAGCCATCTCAGAATATCTCAACGTGAACAATCTAAGAGACCTTGCAAGTACATGGGTAGCTATCCAAATATTTACCCTTCTTTAGAGCTAACGGCAAACCAAAAGAGAAATGTTATCATGGGTAGCTATCCAGGCACATAGGTGCTTAATTCAGTATCATATGCTCATAAAATACCTGCTCTTCATATAAACATGAGGTATATGATATTTTAAATGCAATTGTAGCAGAGGTTTATGTGCCTAAGTAGTCGACCTAGGCCTTTTATTTCTACTGACTAACAGATCCAAACCATTCACGAGTTTGATTTCTACTGACTAACTTATTGCATACAGGTTGAAAACATGTATGCTTGAAAGTAGAGTTAGGCTTGAGTTTAGTTTGGATCATGTCTCATTTTTCTATTTTCTGGATATTTTTAGATTTAGTTAGTAGAGCACAAGGAGGTTAAAAATAGTTAAAAGTTTAATCATGTTGATTATGAGTTGTTAGGTCTACATAATATTTATCACATGGATTTAGTTGTGTTCTAAGTCTAATTTGTATCCTAGTTCGGTGGGTTTATGCTACCGGGTAGTTCAGTTCGGGCGAGTTGGATATGAATCAATATATATTAATAGGTCCACAATTAAACTTAGCAAAAAAAAAACAGGGAAAAAGATTAGCTACACATCACACCCTTCTACTAGTCAGTAGAGGAGATATTAGTCGTATCCTACATTTAACAAATACAGAACTGTTCTCTTGGGCTGCTGTTGAATGGCAGGGACAAGTTAACTACTGATCTCATACTGCTGTAACTGCTGACAAGCCACATGGTTGTGACCAACAGCATAACATATTCATTGCACAAGAATGAGTAATTTCCCCAGAAAAGCATAAAATGATTCTCCACCTAAAGGTGACTCAGAATCAACAAGTGGTTTGGTCAAAAGAACAGCAAAACCCATGATATAGAACAAGCATCACAAATTGCTTTACAAATACTTGTTGGGTTATCCTATCAAAAGAATGTCTAATTGATTTCCTTGAGATCAGTTAACAAAAGTGATGAAACAAAATAATCAACAAACCACTTCACTTAGGTCCACACTCCATTCCATAATTATTATTATCGAAGTGCATACTGCTCTCTTAGCTCAAGGATGCGTCCCTAACCATTCAACAGTTCCATGTAAAACTATCCTAAGGATCCACCAACACAATGGCTCTTCGTATTCATACCGATCTTGATACACGCACAGAAAGCAATCAACAAGGAAATATGTTTGATTAATCAGTCATCAACCTCATCATAGAACAACAATTCATCCCTGCAGCTGTCCATATAAATAAACTACCCCAAACTACACAAGTAACCGGTACATGATGATCCCAACCAAACCACTAGAAGACAGAGGACATCTGCTTTTGCAGAGTTACTATACCCTAAGCAATATGCATATTTCACCTAATTCATCAGAAATATCAATATATGACAATTCACACAAATTATAGCCACAAGAAACTAAAACAATGAAGCAGAAAAGCTTGAAGAAAATGGTATCCATACCCTCAATCTCTCGGACAGCACCGAGGGAGTAATCTGCTTATATTTGGGGACCTCGGAGAGCATCTTATCATAGTTCGCCTGGTCAAAGAGAATGGCATTATTCACCTTCTCCTTCTGCTTTCCCTTGCTCCATTTCTGCATCCAAAACCCTAATCATATTAATTTCACGCTCAAAAAATCAGCAAACAACTCTTACTTTCAGGAAAGAAACCCATCAAAAAAGGTGGACATCGAACTGAACCCTAATATAATCCTAATCTCCTAAGGTCACCTTCTTCTTCTGCTTTCCACCGCCGGATTTCGCGGGCTTCGAAGATGGTGGCGGAGCCTTGTCCTTCTTCGGCGCCTGCAGATGAGAGAAACAGATCGAGCTGAGAGAGATCAAAGAGAAAGAAGACCACCGATCAAAGAATAGAGATCGGATTACCATATCGCTGCAGACGTCTAGGTATTCTTTCGATCGAATAAGGGAGAACAACGCCGCCGCCGCCGCTGCCGAGCCGTGGAGTCGCGTATAAACCCCTTCGAGGGGAATAAATAAGGGCTTCGAAGACGGGAGTAGGGCTAGGCTGGGGTTCGGCTATCGTGCGCCGGGACGTCGATAAAGAGATCCGGACCGTTGATCGAATGGACACCTCTCGGCTCGATGGGAAGATCGCAGCGGTTCGTTCCTTCAAGATCCTACGGCCACGAGAAAAGGTAAGGGGGTGGCACCTCAGGCATTTCGAGCCGTACACGTGGGCTTTTTCGGTACATTAGGAAAAAAATAATCAATTAATGAAAGGATATTATTATTTGTAACCTTTTTATTACTATATCAAAACCTTATTTTAAAATATTTTATTATTTCTAAACTAAGTGAATATAAACATCCTCTTTTCTTCCTCATTCTCCTCTCAACCTTCTCCTCTTCTTCTTCTTCCTGAACTTTTTTCCTCCTCAGTCTCATTTCTTGATCATTCTTTTTCTTACTGCTAATTCAACTGAGGAACTTAGGAATTCAAATTACCCCAAACCAGTGTAATCAGACTTAATTTCCCTTGTTAGCATGGTATTAAGTCTCACAAATTAACTCCTTGAATACTTCCAAAGGAATTAAGACAAACCAGAGTGATCTTTCCATGTGAATCAAGCCTGCCAACCCTCTCTGAGACTAACTTCCCCATGTTTGCACAGCCAAATATATTAGCACATCAGCAACTTGTTCATCACCATGTCATTTAGAGATATGCCAACTGTACCTTACAATACATGAAATTGGTAGCAGAGCAATGTCCCCCACAAAGATCACTGGGTGCAGACATGATATGCCATGGAGAATGTTGTACTCCAGCCAACCAATAGATGCCACCAAGTTTTGGTGTCATGATGATGGCACAAACAGTCTGCTTCAATGGAGAAACATCATAGTGTTTTCTTGCAACTACTCCAAATTTCAACCAATGGATTTAGTGTTCAGTGGATGCACATGATATTACAGCTTTGTAATGAATGCATGATTGTGAGAGCTCATCAGATAGAATTACCTACAGGAAATGCTAGGCTTAGTGTCTTGAGTGCAGATATGTAGATCACACAGCCATCATCAACCCTCTTGTTAGCCATGCCAAGATGTCATACAAACAGCATCAATCAAATCATGGTTGTCTTTAAATCTTACCTTGCAAAAAATGAATGATATAGCCTAATGCTACAACAGCAATAACCATGGTAATCACCATTTCCGATGTAGCAATAGCTCATTATTCCAGTTATCCACTCCCAAGCATGACATTCACCCAGCAACCAGCTACCAAGTTTGATAGTAGTTTCAAGACAAATATGAATTTACTCAAAACCTTAGCCAGAAACATAGTATGTCAGCTGGCACCATTATGCTATTATAACATATACCTAAGATGACAGGAAAAAAAAGGTGGCCCAGTGCGCAAGGCTCCCACAAAGGTGAGGGTCTGCGAGGACCTATATCCATGAGAAAAGTATAAAAAGAAAAAACTTTACAGACGACAAATATCAAGCTCTTGGGTAATGTGAACGTCCTTTTTTCCGGAGGAACTCAGGAATCTCGATCATGCTACCTTCAGTAAGAGGAGACGAAGTGTGTCGGTTTTTTCCAAGGTTATCTCCACCAATTTGTGCCCCCTAGAATCTTACAGTTGTTAGTAAACGATGCACATTAATAAATAAAGATACCTTTGAGACATTCACAAAACAATCTACCTGCAATGGTCGACTTCCACTCTCATCCTGGCGTCTGAAACCAGTAGCAATCAGTGTTATGCTCACCTGAATAGGAACAAGAGTGTTTGTTATCACATTGATGTTTAAGCTTGTTTTCCCCATGATCATAAATTAACACTTATATGTGACACAAAGCAGCCTTGCATTCTGCTCTGGATCCAATTTCTTAGAACACGAAAGGACTTGTACACTAGGCAGATTAGAAAACCAAACAACTTTTACGTTTGTCAAAGAAAAATAAAATTGTTGAAAATGACCAGTCTATGCATACCAGAAATGAAGTCCTACAGTAAATTTTTTACAAATGAAACAGTCCACCGAAATAAATTGCAAAACATATGTGGACTTAATAAACTTACTTGACCACAAAGTGACTGGTCAATAACTGCTCCAAATATCAAATTTGCACCTGGATCAACAAGGTCATATATGACTTCTGCTGCAGCATTGACCTGAAGAGAAGAGCACAAATCCAAACTACTCAGTAACCATTCTGTCATAAAACCATGTATATTCTAGTGAAAGAGCTTGTCCTCTACACAACATACACATTTTGCCCTTAAAACAATGGTGGAAAAGTAACTATTGCAAGAGAACTCCTGGATTAAGTGTTGCATTATATAAGTAAGAAAAACCCAGAGGAAAATGTTGCCCACACCATTTATGGTGATGAGAGTCCTTAAATACACAAGTAACGATAGGAATATCTAATAGTCCGCCAGAACAAAAAACGAAGATGGTGCATATGAATTGGTAAAGATGTATACTCTACAGAGAAAAATCAAAATAAAGAAGATGATATCAGCCATTTTGATAATAACCTGTGTGCCATCTGTATCTTGTCCTTACTCTTTGCATGCCAGCTTACAATTTAATTCAATCTTTAGTTTTTTGAAGTGTAGAACCATCTTAATCCATTTGATCGGAACATTAAAAAAAGCACGAAAACTATGTTACACTCAAGTATTTTAACAAAGTAATCTCTCCAGAACACTGGAACCAACATCTTATGGAGTTGCATGCATCAATAATACATATCAATATAACTCGATGTGATAGATGTCATGTAACATGTCTTGAAATATTAGTCTTACAGCTGATAAAAAAGTGTTTCCACTTGCACTACTTGAATCGAAGCAGCAGAGGAAACACTACCTCGTATAACGTAAGATCATTTCCTCCAGTAATATTCCAAACGATTCCTGTAGCCCTTTCAATACCAATATCAAGCAATGGTGACTGAATTGCATTTAGAGCAGCATCTCTTGCCCTTGTTTTCCCTACAAAATGAGGTCAGACGACCGAAATGATATCTCAAAACAATGCAAAATTACTCTGTTCCAGACTAATCAGAAAATATTTGTTAGATGCAGAGAACTTTTCAAATAGTAAAAAGTGTCCCTTAATATAAGAATACAGAATATAGTCGGTCGTAAATAGAATCTAATGCAATTTTATCTCCAAAAGATATCAATAAACAACTAAATGTTCTTTTGAACTCTTATATGTACAAATGTATAAGGGCCTTGCAATTGGCTGAAGAAAATTGGCTCCATTGATGCATGCTCATGTCAAGTTCAAACATGCAATAAAAAATAAATCATATAATACATATCCCAACACAACTCCTCATTATCTAAACTACATCTATTTGCCTGCCCAAGTTCTTTCGAATTAGCATGTCCTTCAGAATTTTGGTAAAATTGCAAATAAGATTCAACTACTTAATTCTTTTGTTCAATTTTATTTCCTTTCAGTGTTCAGTTGGGAAGATGTATTAAACTATCAATTGTGAAAACAGTAACAACAATTGGAATAAAGATATAAACCTTCGACGCGAAATGCATATTCAACTGATGAAGAGGTAACAAATTTAAGTGGTTGTAATCTTTAAAACATTGGAAAACGTATATACAAGAAAACTATCCAAGTATGTATGTATTCTTCATGTGCTTAAACAGAAACAAGGATGACAAATAAATTTGAGACATAAAAGCCCCATTTTCTGTACAACTGTTCCCTATATAATCATTTATGGTTGCTGGCAATTTGAAAGGCAGAAAACAAATCTACTAATGCAGAAGTTGGGTCCTTATAGACTAATGTCTTGAAAGGGAAAAACATATATAAGTCAAGCCGTCAAGGAGATTGCTTGCCAATAAAACAAGATACTAAACACCAAGCCATCAAGGAGATAAACTTCCATTAGAAGTTTAGAACAACATACTAAACCATAAATATTTCACAAAGCCTGCTAGGTAGTTTTTCTCAGGAGCTACCAAGGTGTGAAGTGTTAACAAATCTGATTTAACTCCTTAGTAGTTTAAAGGTCAGTTCCAAAATATGGTTATCAAGATTCTCGATTCCATACAGAAATCAGTTCCTGCTTAATTACCTGTAGCAGTGCCTATACCCATTAGAGATGAACCTGCATTTGCCATAATTGCACGTACATCAGCAAAATCAACATTAACCAAACCTGGAACCTGTAATTGAAAAAAGTGATCATGTCAGAAATTGGCATGTGCAACCCTCTATAATTTGTGTTGTTGGATGAATGCAATCCATGACAAATGCAGTTTCGGTCATGCATCTGATAGTGTGATAAAAGAACCATATATTAGGACCGCAAGTTATTACAACAGAGGATCAGGAAAGACAGTTAAAATTATTTGCATTTCAGGTAGCATAATAAAAGGCAGGAAGACTGAGAATAGAGGTTCAAAAACAAAATAGTGAAACCTACACTCCTAAGGTGAGGAGCAATGATTAAAGATGTCACCCAATTTAGGTTAGAACAAGATGACATGAAGCAAATATTTATTCCACAAATTCAACGGATTGTTTTGGTCCATCAAGTCAACCAAACAATAAGCTAAACTAAATGAAAGCCAAAGTTACTGACCACAGTGCAGTTAACAGATACACATCCAGAGAAACATCAACCAGAAAATCTTTCAGGGTGCGACCAATAACATTGGTGATAAAAAAATGTGCTTGATGTGCATGAGGCAGATAGAGATAACAAAAGGTGAAGGCCTAATCGAGGACATTCTATAACATTTTTCATATTCTTTCTCTGAAATTCACATCTGATATAAACCATTGAATTTATAATACAAACAGGTGTCATTCTATCACATCTGTAGATATTTGTAGTAAACAATTGTAAAGTAGTAATTGAAGGCAATGCATTGTGTTGCTGCAGAATGATATTAGGCTCATATTTCTTTTTAAATTAATTCTTTTATAGTAACTGAGCAACAGATTTAATAAAATTAACAAGGATCCTGAACTGATAATCTTCTAATCAACAAAATAAGTGATTGGTCTTTGTTAAAACTTAAAACAACATATCTGACATGACATCATTAGAGCTCATTTAACGAAGTCATATAGTTGTCTGTCATCATGTTAATCATCACATAGCTAAATTCTAATCCAATTAATCAACAACACACTGTTTCTTTAAACAAAATAAACACATTATACCAATAACAAAAGAGCATATATGTAACAGATTATGTAGAACATATTCCTAGAAAAGAAATAATATATGCAGCACGTAGAGATAATGATGATCACTTTTCTTTTCATTTACCGAAAAAAGATCCTACAAACTAGTTGCTGACATCGTACTGCCAGGACATGAAACACTCCCTTCATTAGCAGTATTGATGTACTTGTAACAAGGAGAAAATGGTTACAAAAAAAGAATATGGTAATTTAGCATATATCTCATGAATTTCATAATATATTATACTTGATGAAACTAAGTGAATGCTCCAGTAAGAAAAAGGAAGGAAGACATCCACAAAAACTGGTTCAAGATATCTACATGGAGTAAACATTATGAATTAGTACTCGTGATGCAAAGAAGTTAAGCAAATTTCATGCCAGTCAAATTAAGGGTAATGTATCTATCATCTAACCATAAGCTTTTCAGGGATTTCTACCGTGATTATATCAGAGATGCCACGAACACCTTGTCGAAGAATATCATCAGCCAAGTTAAATGCTTCTGCCACAGGAGTATTTGGAGAAACTGCAGTCAATAATTTGTCATTCGGTATTACAATAAGGGTGTCAACATTGTTTCTCAGAGCTGCAATTCCTTCCTGTGCCTGAACTGTGCGCTTTCGTCCTTCAAATGAAAATGGGGTTGTAACAATACCGACAGTCAAGATGCCCATTGATTTAGCAATTCCTGCAATTACAGGAGCACCACCAGTTCCAGTTCCACCACCCATTCCAGCCTGCACATGATATTTTACTGATTAATAAATAATTTCTCTACTTAAAAAGTCACTAGAATCATACAACAATATGTAGTGAGCATATATCTTTCTTGCACAGGTGTCTTTTCATATTTGGACATTGCCATTATGCTAGCAGAATCACTGAAACTAAAACATGTTGAAAAACAAAACAGTTCATATATGACAGAGTAAATAAGAGAAACTGGAGGGGATATGCCAAACTAGATCAGGAGATAGAAGTAGATGAGCATTATTGATGAAAAAAAACTAGAATAACTATCCAGCTAAGGTTCAGCTGACAATTATAATGAAAACTAGATCAGGAGGTAGAAGTAGATCAGCATTAATAAAGTGTCAAACGATTGTATTATAGAACTTTTACCTGTCGGAAAGAGAGAGGAAATATGTTAAATGTCAAATATAAAAAGATGACACTTACTACAACAACCCTCAGCCCATTCCTGACAAAATAAAACAGATGAACTAAAAATAGATTACTTGCAGATGATCAACAAGTCCGTTTCTTAATCATTAATCCTATCCAAAGAAAATTTAAGAACTTAACACACATATACACATATATTGGATGATGCCCAAGCACAAGTGTATTTTCCAAGATCAAGTAACACGTAAATTATATTAAAGGTGTAGCTATAGTAATCGGTGGTGTCAGTGCCATCTTATCCATGGGAAGTAAATTAACATTGTGCAGAAAAAGTAAGTAAAACGATTAGGATGAACTTAAGTTTTAAGATGTTCCAAAGTAGCCTGCTCTATGTTCTGATTAGGTAGTTATCATGGCAGTACCATTTCTCAAAGAAAATCAAATATAAATTGGCGCACTACTATTTGCTTGCTGTGAACATCACCATTAGATCCTGCTTCTGTAATTATCCCATGAGAACATGACCAATGATAGAAAAAATGTACCAGCAATCCTATCAAATATGAGAATATCTAAAGTCCCTAAGGCACAAAAAAGACAATAAGATATAATAATAAATGGCATCAAAGAGAAATATAAGTTTGCACTAGAGTCATGGATCAACAAAGTGAACTAGCAGGTATTCCTGGTACAGACTGGTCCTCTCGTGAACCAGAACATGGACCGTCTGGTTTCGGGTGGTCCACTTGTGAAACAGAGCTTATTATCCACTAAGTCTTGTGAATGGAGTTTATTGTCAGATTCTGATTTTAGATAAGCCTAGACGCCATTATATCCAGTTTCTATTGACCTATTTTTCTCTGTTGCCTCTTCCCCTCTTCTTCTCCATCATTGCCTTCTCTTGTTGTCTAGTTCGTCCTCCTCCTCCTCCTCCCTCCTCCTTTCCCCCTTCTTTGTACTGTGGTCCACTTCAGTGTATCATATCTCGGTATGCCGGAACGGGTTGGACCTGTACCTGCCATGAACTGGTATGGATCCGGTGTCTGCAATTGAAAACCTCGTGTAGTGTTGTACTGCAGGAGAATATAAGAAACCAGAAGACAGGGCAACTTACATGCTAACTAGATAGATTAAATAAAAATATTCATTCTGTCATAACACCGACGAGATAAGTGTGAACCAAAATCAAACAGTAATATTTTACTTCCTACTATGTCACAAAAAACATATCTAGGAACCCAAAAAAACTAATAAATGCTAAGCAACAGTAAGGGAGTAGGATGAATTTACTGTGACGAAAACCATGTCAGCACTAGCAAGCGCCATCTCAATGGACTCTTTGCTTTCATTGGCGGCATTCATACCAATATCTGGGTTCCCACCAGCTCCAAGTCCCCTGGTTAACTCCCGACCAATTTGCAAACGGTTCTCGGGAAAGACAGGAGACATCCGCATCGCTTGGACATCTGTGTTGACGATCCAAAACTCCACACCTTTCATTGAACTCTCAATCATTCTATTGATGGCATTGGAGCCTCCACCGCCGACACCAATAACCTTGATCTTGGCCTCATTATAATTGTCCTGAGCAGCGGAGTCCCTCAAGTTCTCGACAATGCTGGCACCTGTCTTGTCGTTCCTCGCGTCACTAACTGCGTCTTTTCTCTCTCCTCGGAGCAACGAAACTTCGGGATGGAGATGCAAGAACGGGTCCTTGTCGTGGTACGAGCCGAAGCTGTTTTGATTCGCCGAACATCTAAGACGCGAACTCGACACATCCTTTGGGTCGAAGCGCAGGAAGATGCCGGATATGCTGCTTGGGCGTCCCTCCAAGAGGGGTCTTCCCACGTGAACCGCGGAAACACCAACAGAGCATCGACCATGTAGGGGCGAAATGCACGCCCGGGGCGTCGCCATCAAGACGGAAACACGAAATCTCAGAAGGGTTCGAGGAAACAACGGTGTCTCCTAAAGCATTTGCAGTGGCATCGATTAATTGGTCTCCGAAACCTACTTCTCGAGGCAAAAAGGATCCAAAATGCAACAAAGAAAAGAAAGAATCGATCAGGCCGCTAGCAATGCCAATGCGCTTAGGAACACTAACAAACGAACGGCGAATCGATCTGAGGACTCGATTCGGAGAACATGGGACGAAAATAAAGCGGAGAAGCAAGCAAGAAGAGGGCAAACCAAAGATTAATCGGAAGCCACCTGCAAGGAGTTGAGCTGTTCTCGGGGGCGTCTCTGAGAGAGAGAGAGAGAGAGAGGCGAAAGGGGGCGAGGTGACATTTGGCGTAACAGGCGATTAATTGGGTCGTAAAAGTTGAGATGTTTAGACACATCGATCCTCGAAAAAAGCACAGAAATAACGAATATGCCATACATATTCTTTTGTTAACATCCAAAAACTCAAATTAATTGCTTCTAACTTTAATTTAAACTACGTAATGTTGAATTTTATTTTCGAAAAGCACCTCTCATTTTTAGAATTTCCAAACAATACCTCAAATATCTCTTTTACTATCTTTTTCCTTTTTTCCTTATGAATCGGTCTATAAGATGAATTAGTCTAATTATAATATTTTTTTAAATTAGGTTATAGTATTTTTAATAATATAAAAAAAATACTATAACTTAGTAAACGGCATAATAAAAATATTATTATTAAAAATAAAAATATGATGTTACAATCTTTTTATATTGCATTATAATATTTTTCTGGTATTATTGAAAACATTATAACGTTATAATAATATAAAAATACTATAGACACGATATTTTTATAAAATTTATATAAAAATGTTATGTTATAATATTTTTATACCATGTAATAACATATTTTTATAGTATTGCTAAAAACATTATAACATATCAAAAAAACATTATAATTGGACCAATTTAAGCTGATTCAAGAGAAAAAAAAGAGAGAAAAATATTGTAGATATTAGGCAAAAAAAATCTAAAAATGAAGAGCTTCTCAGAATAAAAAACATAAAAGAGATTTTTTTTTCCAAAATTTTACTTTAAATTCTATACAAAATAAACTAATTTATTGAATTAAAATTAAAAATAATAAAATCATTATTTATTTAATATAATTTATTTTAGTTCTCCCTCTACCTCATGTACAGCTCATTACATTCTGACAGATCATCCTTGGAAGCCAACTCTGCAAGTACACTCTGACAGATTAATAGAAGACGAATTAATCTGACAAATTATGCTCATAATATAATACTTGGATGCAAACTTCTTAATTGAATATTTTCAAAGCTCATGGTGTGTGCAAGTAAAAAGGCAGAATTACTGCGACCAATCTAAAAATCCAAGAAAGTTCTTCGTCTTCATTTTTCCAAACATCAAGATGAAGCTGAAAACCCTAACTGGTTAATGATAGAAGACGAAAACCCTAACTGGTTTCCTCCAACAACTCAAATGATTGGCAGAAGGCTCACAAACTGCACTATAAGATGAGAAGATACAGTGGAAGAAGGAAAGGATTTGACTATGGCTTTTATGTAGCACATAAGTTGCCAATTGCTACATGATGGTTAGAACTAGAAGGCAAATTAAGACAAAATCAGTAGTGTCCCTCATCATCCTACACGATCCACAAAAACAGTCGGCTGATTCTGTGCTGCCATGGTAAATGATGCTTCCAAATGCAAAAACTTCATGAGTTGGCATCATTTGTTGGTAGGACAACGTCCATATGATCTGCATTAGTTTCACTAGTTTCATACTCGGAAAGAAGATCCATGAACTCGTTTAGCAACCGTTGGACCTTCCTGTTAGATGCCATGGCTGGAAGTATATCTTCCCTGAGGAGTTTGTGCTTTTTCATTCCCTGCAATAAAATCCGAGTCAAAAGTATCAGCCATTAGGAAAGTATATAGTAAAAGGAACAAAATTAACGAATCAGATTGGCTCAGCAGGCCGAGATACAGTAGAAAATCTTTGCTAATGGAATCACATCAATGTAACATCAAAGGTAACTCCTTGTCATTTATAATGCTTTCATCAATTACATTGGCATCGATAGATACATTGTCTCAGAAGCAAAGCTGGCAACCAACGAAACCTAGATGCTTGAGAGGAGTGCAATCTTGACTAGGTTCTTGGCTTCAATAAGCTATACTCTAATGTAAGTGAGCCAATATTGAACAGTAAAATAGCAATAAAGAATATCTCATCTAATGGTATCCTGCGTCAACCAATCTTTTAAGGCCAATCATTTCACATACTGTGTTTAACATTGCAGGATTTTACCTAGGACTGAGACCTAAAGTTCAAAAATAGAGAAGGATCTCCTTGAATCCCTATAACACACCAAATCCTTTATTGGATCTGTGATTTCAATTTCAAATGATGAGCATAGCATAAAGTGCTTCTGTCAAATGTGTAAGTGATAGTTAAACCACCTTAAATAGTGAGGATATTCATGTTCATGAACTCAAGCCCAACACAAGCCTGACATAAGATCAATTAGGCATGAATTGAAACTGATGGGAATTAACTGAACATAAGATTTCAAATGACAAATATTCCAAGCACAATGTGAAATCAAATAAGTAATCATTTTCTGCTGTAAGTTAAACCACAAATAAGAATGAAGATGATCATGAATTAAAAGAAATCTCACAAGCACATTAGGATCCCATTCTGGGTTCTCTGAATCCACAACTGTAACTTCAGCCATTCCGGTAGGAGGCCCAAGAAAACTCTCACAAACTTCACGCAGCCGAGACTCATCAGCTTCTCTGCAAGACAAGACAATGTTCATCTCACTACTCATTCTGTAAACTGTGCCTAGATATTGCCAAGAATGCTACATTAAGCGAACACAGTCTGTGAAAAGCAACCAACACCCTAAATGGAAGATGAAAACCAGTACATATGGTTCGATAGACATGTGGATAAAGAGACCTATCCTAAGATGAACTTGATCAGTGAAAAAAAACTTATCCAAATTGAGAATGTGATAAGAAAACTTATGACCAGGATAAGATAGATACTGCAGGTTTGCACCACTATATACAAATATTACTATGAGTTTCATCCAAGTTTAAATTATTGTCACATATATGCTATTGTCGATCAAGAATTCATGGGATGACATATGTACACATTTGGCAACCAATTTCTCTAAGTGGGTGAAGATTCGATGCTTAGTATAAGATTATCATGGTCAATGTATTTGGGTACCAAAATAATGGTAATCAGATTTGTAGTGATCATGAGAAAACATAAACGAAATGCACTGACATATCATACAATCAATTCTATATGGCCACATCTCACATATATGGTTATGCACATATGAAGACACGGCCTTATGCAAAAGTTGTGTAACCCATCCATATACAGTTGCATAGACTGCATTTGGATCACCGCTTCTGTCTCCTCAAACATCCTGCTGTGAACTAGCATCATCATTTTATATATATAGCCTACTACAAAAGAGCCTAGACATTAACTTTTTCCATGGGCAGAACCTATAAATTTGTAGATGGGGAACCTGGATATAGGAAAAGATGTGATTGGTATTGATATTGGTAGTGTCACTAGACTAGGTGATCATCATCAGGTGTCTCTTGTTAATGAATGTTCCTGAAATTCTCCACATGCCTCTTTCATGATCCCTTACAGGTCCCACTCAAAAGTCTAGCTCCTTTGTACTATTTTTTTCATTTTTTTTTGGTTCTACATCACATGTCCCACTCATAGCTACCAATACTGTTTGGTCATCATCCCAACTAAGCTTTGGTTCGCTAGGTCACCGGTTAGACCAGTTCATCAACAGGATAAATTGCATACTTAATAAAACATATTAAAATTATATTATTTAATCTTTTTTTCTATTTTCTACTCTGTTGTTCTCTGTTTCTTTTTCAGTTCATTTTTTTGTTCTTTTTTCTTCTCTCTCTTCCTCTTTCCCCTTTTCCTTAGCACTGCTCGTCTTTAGCCTCCTCTAAAAAAGTGGTCAGGTTGGCTGGTTTGCTCCCATTTTTTGGCTTCTCTAATCTTTGAACAGAACAATACCGGTAGACATTTCATGAGTTATTAGATCCAACAGGCTGGTTGGGTTCTGATAGCCATGGTCTTGCCGTGCTAGGAGACAATACACATTTTTCCACCAATAAAAAGCTCTGAGGATCATTTAACAAAATCACGTGGTTATCAGTCTCACCAAGATTACCATAATGCCATGATGCAAATAACAGCTTGGCATGCAACAGTAGAGCAAAAGAAAATTCATAAAATGTTTTAAGAAAATAGCGGGTGGAGTTGTCATCTTTTGTTAAGATTGAAAAATAATATATCAGTAGAAGAGAATGTTGCTAAGATAAATGGCCAACGGGGTAACTCAGAGGCACTGATCACTGAAATAGCTGACCCAGAACCTCTAATCTCATCGGTAAATGACAAATATGCATCTAGGATTGTATTTTACATATGAAACTCGATAATGGCATTGAGATAAATTTAATAAAACTTGGGTGTGTTTTTTAACCTTTTTTTTATTCATTGGACCCTAGGTAGTGGAACCTAAGACATGACAATACTCTAAAGAATACTATGGTATCAGAGTCTCAATTTTTCCTTTTTATTTTTTCCAGAGGACTTTTTGGCTGATCTTATAGACAGATTTAATTAATATTTTATTATATGCTGGCCAGTGGAAATTCACTTTGAAGTTTGAATTATTTTACATATTAATACACCAAATCCTCAGGATACCTATAGGGTCTGACACTAGTTCAGCCGCCACTAGGGATACAGCAAATCACCACTGTGGTGATTTTTTGTTAACTTGTACAAGTTCAGCAGCCATTAGTCGAGTGATATATTTTACCTATTTGGAAAAAAGAATATATGGGGTCTGACCCTTATATAACATTTTGTGAACATAAATTGTTTTTTTTTTTTGTCATGTCCTTTCCTTTGAGTTCTTTTGCTGGCCACTAAACTGAATAAATATTTACTAATATCAATTTGACTGATAGGAATCCACCTTGGGATTCCTTACATATTGATCATCAAAAAATATACATTAAATATTAAATTATTTTATAATTTAAACACTAAATCCTATTAATACATGTTTTGTACTCACAGAAAAACTAGGTAAACATATGGCTGTAGACAATACTAAGTTGAATCCATCTGTTATCATATATTGCATAACATTCATGCATTAGGAACTAAGTATGACCATAGGTATATTAGGCATTTACAGTTTATCTAAATTCTTTTTATCAAATTGAAAAGCTAGAACATATTTAAA